GTGGGTCATTGAGGTGGTGGTGTTATTGTGGTAACATTGTATCTTTATTATGATGTTATTGGCTTGGTACCCTGGGTTGCTGTGAGGTTATGCAATAGCGGTGTTATTGAATGGTTTTTGTGGTTGTATTATGGTATTATTGTGGGAATTTGTCGCGGTTTGGTATGTGGTGTCATTGTGGCATTGAAGTGGTATTATTGGCTTGAGTTTAGTCCAAATCGAGCCCTTAAATCCAGTTTCCCATTTCAAGTCAACTTTTAGACACATGGCACAATGCAATTGATGGTTTGGTGCATTCTTAGGGGTTGCTATGAGCCAAAATGATGTATGAATTTGATAATTTTGGATCCGTGTAGAAGTCGATGTGAATTGGATTTGATTTTGAATGTTGAAGTGAAATTTGATGTAAATTTGACAAATTTAGCATTAAGTCTTGAAATTTGGTTTTGGATTTTGTGCGGGATTTGAAATAAATTGATGTGAATTTGAATTTGCAGTCCATGGGAATTGTATTTGAAGTTTGGATTTGATTTTGGGTTCAAAATTGAATAATTTCGGATGGCTTGGAGTGAATTTTGATGATGAGCTGGGAAGTGTGATTGAAATCTAGTGGAGTGTGAGGTGCCCAAGCCACTTAATGCTCAAAAGGGTGTCCATAAGGCCTCATGATCCTATAAGAACTTATTTTTTGAGTTTTCACATGTTGGTCTCAACACCCCAAATGCTAGAGGTTTATGACCACCCACGTGAGACTCTAAAAGAGCCAGAAAATGGTTTGAAGTCTTAAAAGGTGTGGGTCCCATCACTAGGCTTCTAGAATAGTCAATAGGAAGATCCTATGACTAGATCCTATGTTCTAAAAGGAAGACTAGTCTTCACTAAAAATGAGATCAACAAATGAACCCCCAATAGATGTGGTGTGTTGAATAAGCACACCACACATTTTAGTATTGACCGAAGTGATCAACAAAACCAAGGGAGTCGTTCAAGCAGACTTACTTAGAACAGGCCGAAGATCAAACTAGATTTGATATGGAAATTGAATTAGGATTTCTACATGGGAATTCCCACCTCGAGGAAAGATTTGAAGATTTTGAAAATTTTTGTTGGGGATTAGCAAGTGCATTTTTAATTTGTTGCTGTGAATTTGAGTTTTTAAATTTAGATATCGATTTTATTTATAATTATCAATACCTTTCCTATCTAGTATTTTGATATCAAACTCTTGAAATAACATGACTCATCTGATCAAGCTTGGTTTGACATCCTTTTTCTTACATCAGATATCAAATAGAAAAATGGTTGATATGAACAGCACACTTAGTACCAATCAAATATGGTTTGAATTTATCAAGCACATACACTATAGCTAGAAGCTCTTTTTCAGTAATGGTATAACTAATATGAACTTCATTAAGAGTTTAACTAGCATAGTATATAACCAGAAACATCTTATCATTCCTTTGTCCTAAAACTGCCCCTACAACATAGTCACTTGCATCACACATTAATTTGAATGAGATTTCCTAATCAAATGATATGATGATGGGAGCAAGTATGAACTTCTCCTTTAACGTGTTGAAGGAAGCTAGGCAATCCTGGTCAAAACCAAACATAACATTCTTTTCCAATAAAAGGCATAAAAATTTGATAATTTTAAATAAATCCTTAATATATCATCAATAAAATCCATCATGTCGTAGGAAACTTCTAACTCTCCTCTCTGAAGTGGTTGGGGGAAGTTTTTCAATAAATTGAATTTTGGCTAGATCTGCCTCCATATCTCTCTCAAAAAAATTTATATCCTAAAACAATTTCTTCTAATACCATGAATTAACATTTTTTCCAATTAAGAACAAGAATGGTTTCTTCACAGCATCTTAGTACCTTGGCTAGATGATCTAAGTAAGAATCAAATGAAGGGCCACATAGTGACCAATCGTCCATAAATACATCTATTTATTTCTTAATTAGGTCACCAAAAATTGACATCATGCAACTTTGAAATGTAGCAGATGCATTACATAACCCAAAAAACATTCTCCTAACAGCAAAAGCCTCACAAGGACTCATGGATGTAGCCTTATCGTAATCCTCAGGAGTAATAGAAATCTTATGATACCCTGAATACCCATCCAAAAAGCAGAAATATATGTAGCCAACTTACCTATCGAACATCTGATCTAAGAAGCGTAAGAGAAAATGATCCTTCCTGATTGCTGAGTTTAATACCTTGTAATTGATACATATACGATACCTAGTGACATGTCTGGTGGGGATCAATTCATTTTGTTTGTTTACTAGCACAGTCACTCTCCTTTCTTAGGAACACAATGTATAGTACTAACCCAGACACTATCTGAATGGGGTAGATAATACTTGTAACAAGCCAATTCAAAATCTCCTTCCTAACAACATATTTCATAACAAGGTTCAAACTGCTTTGAGGATCTGCCCGGGGTTCATGATTTTTCTCCATCAGGATCTTATGCATACATATAGAAGAATTGATCCCTTTTATGCCTGTTAGGATCCATCCAAAAGCTTTTTTAAAAATCCTCAGAACATACATTAATTCTTCTTCTTGTGAGCTACTAAGTTTTAAGGATATAATGAGCGACAAAGTAGATGACTTCTTGAAATAAGCATACTTTAAATATTTGGGAAGCACCTTCAACTCAAGTTCAGAGGTTTCTCAATGGAAGGAACAAGAGGTTTACAATTTTTAGTAGTATCAAACCTCTCTAACAATTCTTGGGTTATCTTCCACTATTAAAGCAAATTCATCCTCAATTTCCATCATTTCATCCTCAATCAAAATCTGCTCCTGTGGTTTAACATCACAACACTCTTGAAATTGATAGTTTAATAGATGATCTATGAGCCCCATCCTTTAGCATGAATCTTCATTGCAGTCAGAAAAGAATTTAATAGATTTTAACACATTAAAAGTTTCCTTTTGATCGTTCACTCTCATTGTCAGTTCTCCTTTCTACACGTCAATCATCGCACGGTCAGTGGCTAGGAAATTTCTACCTAACATGATGGGGATCTCTTTATCTTTCTCATATTTAATATAATAAAATCATCAGGGAAGATAAATTTACCCACCTTCATTAGAACATCCTCTATATCAGATAAGTGATCGAGCAATCAACAAGCTGAAGGGTTACAATGGTAGGAGAAACCTCCCCTAATCCTAACCTCTTAAAAATAGATAGTGGCATAAGGTTAATACTTGCACCCAAGTCACATAGAGCCTTTCCATAGAACTTCTCTCCAATTATACATGGAATTGTAAAGCTTCCAGAATTCTTAAGCTTCGAAGGAAGCTTCTTCTGAATGATAATCCACCACTCCTCAATAAGTGCTACCATCTCATTCTCTCCAAACTTTCTCTTCTTGTTAAGGATCTCTTTCATGAACTTCACATAGCTGGTCATTTTCTCTTAAGCCTCGACGAAAGGAATATTGATCATCAGTTTCTTGAAAACTTTCAAGAATTGTAAAAATTATTGATCTAGCTTTTCTTTATAGAGTCTTTAAGGAAATAATGATGGTGGTGGTCTTTTTAAGTTATTTCTAGTGGGTGAGTAGTTTTCCTAAATTCATTGAAAGGTCTTTCACAATCCTTTTATGTTCTATTTTCTCTTTCTTTTCCTAGGAATCTTTCTGAACCACTTCCTCCAACTCTCTTCCACTCCTCAACT